TTCCTCCTAGCTTTTCAATTTATCTTTCTCCCTGAAGCTTTAGACTAAAATTATTAAGTGCAACTTACAAGGATGGGGCAGCAGCCAAAACAAAACAAAACAAAACAAAACAAAAGCAACTCACTAAAATGACTAGAGATGACAGTGGGTCCCGTCTCAGCAACACTCCTCTCCACATACACCAGCCACCCTGCACATCCAGTCTCTGAAAAGTCCGGTCTCTCCTCCACCTACATTCTATATTCAAACCCTAGATTACTTCCCACATACACACACAATGGCACCCACCCGAGAGGGGGGAATCCATGTCCTTGAAAGCAAGTGCGTGGGACTAAGAATCACCCGACCCACGTTTTAACTTTTTAAAAAATTTTCTAACAAACCACATTCCCCGTCGGGCCTCAGATACAAGGCTGTATTCGGATGACCTCCCAACTCCCCGCACCGGACAAAGTCTGCTGGGAGCACCGCCCCTGCGCTCGCTCCTCCCAGCTCCAGAAGACCCGCCCCGGTACTGGCGTCCGCCGCTGCAGCCTCTTACTCCCCGCAGGGAGGTTAGGCCCGGACCGCTGCAGCCCTGCGGTCCTCCAGCAGGCCGGCAGCTACCTGGTTTAGCAGACTGTAGATGCTGATGCCCGAGGTCTGCAACAGCAGTTGCCAGTCGGCCCCGGCCAGGGCGGGCTCCTGGAGCTCGGCGCAGGCCTCCAGGAACTGCTCCTCCGAGAAGCCACCGGCCGTACGGTCCATACTTCCGCAGCCCTAGGTCCTCCGCCTGCAGGGGAGGCAGCGGACAGGCTTGGCTCGGTGTGGGTTCGGGAGCGGGGCGAGACGCTGGCACAGCGTGATTGGCAAAGAACACAGAAGAGATAGAGGGGAAGGCGAGACTTAAGGGGAGAAGTCTAAGGAGAGGCGGAGCCAGGGAGACGCGGGCCTAGAGAGGTGGGCGGAGCTGAACAAGAGATGAGTGGGCATGGAAAGAAGTAAAAAGAGAAAATTAGACTTAGTTTGTGGAAGGGTGGAGGGGCTAGGGAAGTAGGGAGACTTCCTGACAGGCGGAAGGAAGGAGGAAACACTAGTGTCATTTCAAAACCATCTCAGTAGCCCATCCCGTACTCCTCCCCGCCTCATACCCTCCAAACCTGCTTGGTGGTCTCTCCTTTCCATGATCTGAAAAAGATAGGAAGCCTTTGA